CGTTTTATGTGGCAGGTATGGCACGTGGCGACATCGACCTTTACTTTGAATGATAGATATGGCATGTATGGCAGCCGTGGCACATATGGCATTGGGCTGGCTCCGGTGGTGCGCTTTGGCCGGGATGGCCGCCGCGGCTGTTGCTGTGGTAGGTATGGCACTTTGAGATACCCACCTTGGTTTTACACAACAGATGTGGTATTTGGTAATATTGACCTTTATTTTGTGGGGGAGGTATAACACGTATGGTATTGGATTGGCTCTGGTGGCGTGCGTGGGTCGGAGTGGCCGGGGTGGCCGGGGTGGGCGCCGCGGCTGTTGGCGTGATAACCTTACTCATACGGCTGTTGGTATGGTAGGCGTGGTAGGCGTGGCAGATATGGAACTTGGAAACATCTACTTTCGTTTTACGTAACAGGTAAAATACTTAATATTATCGACCTTCACTTTGCTCACCTATAATTTGTCCTCATATAATTTGTCCATACATAACTTGTCCACGTATAATTTGTCATCATATAATTTGTCCACACAAAATTCACGCAATTTGTCCTTACATAATTTGTCATCATATAACTTGTCCATACACAACCTCTCCACATACAATTTGTTCTCACCAAATCGCTTTTGCATAATTTATTTACCTTCATTTTGCGTGACAGACATGATAATTGGTGATATCGACCTTCTTTTTGCGTGGCAGGCGTGGTACGTATGGCATTGGGTTGGCTCCGGTGACGCGCTTGGGCCGGGGTGGCCGCCGCTGTTGGCGTGATAGGTATGGCACTTTGCGACATCCACCTTGGCAGGCATCGCACGTAACACAATTTGTTTACATACAATTTATCATCACACATTTTCTCATCATTACACGCGTGACAGGCACTTGTTCACATACAACTTGTCTATAATTTGTCATCACACAACTTGTCTAGACACAATTTGTCCACGTACATTTTGGCCTCAACTTGTCCACACACAATTTGTTCATATATATATTGCAATATATTGCAATCGGCCTGTCGCTGCGGGCGTAGTGCCCTATTCGCCTCGGCTTCGATGCAGCCACATACAACTTACTTTTCCACATACAACTTACTTCACTCCAATCCTTCACCATCTCTTTTCTCTTTCCTGCTTTCCCCGTGCCATCTTTACCTTTCTTTTGCTGCTTATTGGAAGAAATTGACATGTGGGGTTATCCGGTCCTTTAATTTTCTTCTTTTTCTTTCTTCTCTATTTTTTCTTTCTCTTTCTGATCTCTCTTTTTCTTATCTCTCTTTCTTCTTTTCCTCTCTCTCTTCCTTCTCTTTTTTTCTTCTCTTTCTTGTTTTTCTTTTTTTTCTCTCTCTTTCTTATCTTTCTTTCTTTCATTCATTTTTTCTTTTTTTCTTTCCTCCATTCTTTTTTCTTTTCTTATTTCTTTATTTCTTTTTTTTGCTTTTTTATCTTATTTTTTTTCTTCTTTGTTTTCCTTTCTTCTTTATTTATATTTTTATTTTTATTTCTCTTTTTTTCTCTCTCATTTTCTTCACTATTTTTTTATTTTTTTCTCTTTGTTCTTTCTCTTCCTTCTCTCTTTTCTTTTTCTCTTTATTCTATCTCTTTCTTGATTTTATTATTTCTTTTTATTTCATTTCTCTTTATTATTTTTTTTCATA